TGGTATATAATATTTTTAACCATTCTGTGCACAATACAAAGTTGTGACTGTGACCATCACATGTGGTGAAGTATGGAATATTCCACTCGTGGCATCATGTTGGCGCTCAAAACATTTCAAGTTTTGGAACATTTCCAAAATTTGGATTTTCAGATCAGGGATGTTCAACATGTATATAATAACAAAACACATAGGATTTGCTGGCAAGTGAAGCCCCCCATTCAGTAAATATGATGGTGTAAAGCAAGTACGAGAAATGCATCCAACCAAATAACAGCAACTAAAAAGCAAGCCACAGTGCGAAAATATACTAAGGAAATCCTATCCAGCACCTGCAGCAAAAGTAAACATGTCAACAAAATCTGGTACAAAGCTACAAAACCCTTTCCTGTGGGATATGATGTTGACACACTTCACCACTAGGGGGAGACCAAGATCACCCAGTGAATTTGGGCCACGGTGCTCAGAATTCCTGGCCCTGCTTTCCCAGACACCGGTGGCCTTTTCAGCACCTGTAAGGTCCCCCCATCTGTAAGATGCTAGCAAGCAAACTCAAGGGACCAGCAGCCCCAGGCCTATAGAGCCCTCAAGAGCCTAAATCAGCCTGGGGTACCCAAGGGCCCCACTTTGCACCATTTTCTTCCATCCACAATATGGGCATGTTGTAAGATGGTAGAAAGGGCCAGGCATGGTGGCTCACCCCTGTAATCCCAGCACTTTGGGAGGCTGGGATGGGCGGATCACTTGAGGTCAGGAGTTCCAGACCAGCCTGGCCAACATGGTAAAATCCCGTCTCTACTAAAAACACAAAAATTAGCTGGGTGTGGTGGCAGGCACCTGTAATCCCAGCTACTCAGGTGGCTGAGGCAAGAGAATCACTTGAACCCAGGAGGCAGAGGTTGCAGTGAGTGGAGATCGCACCACTGTACTCCAGCCTAGGTGACAGAGCAAGACTAGGTCTCAAAAAAAAAAAAAAAGCCAGGCATGGTGATGCACGTCTGTTAACCCAGAACTTTGGGAGGCCAAGGTGGACAACCCCTTAAGCTCAGGAGTTCAAGATCAACCTGGCCAACATGGTGAAACTCTGACTCTCCAAAAAAGAAAAAAAGAAAAAAAAAAAAACGCTGAAGCATAATTTATGTATGGAAAAATACATAAATTTCAAGCACACAACTACATGACCTCCCATGGCCTCTTAACTGGCCATCCTGACCCTCTCCTCCACCCTCCACAGGGCCATTTCAGGTTGTGCTTTCCAAGTCTATCTGACCACATCACTACCATGGTCAAAAACCTCCAAAAGCTTCTCCCGCTCTAAGAATAGAGACCCTCAGAAACAGAATTATAAGCATTCCTCACCTTTGAGAAAGAAAAATGAGGCCGGCTGCGGTGGCTGGCACTTGGGAGGCCAAGATTACTTGGGGTCAGGAGTTGGAGACCAGCCTGGCCAACACAATGAAACCATGTCTCTACTAAAAATACAAAAATTAGCTGAGCGTGCTAGTGCACGCCTGTAACCTCAACTACCAGGGAGGCTGAGGCAGGAGAATCGCTTGAGCCTGGGAGGTGGAGGTTACAGTAAGCCAGGATTATGCCACTGCACTCCAGCCTGGGCAACAGAGAAAGAACAGAGAGAGACTCTGTCTCAAATAAAATTTAAAAAAAAAAAAAAGGAAATGAAAAGTCAGATCTAAATCTGCCTTTAAGAAAGGAATCCACTTTAGTTAAAGGGGAACCATCAGGCACATAGTACTTTGACTTTTCTTTTCCTTCTTATTTTTTTAAATTTTTTTCGGGCCGGGCGCCGTGGCTCACGCCTGTAATCCCAGCACTTTGGGAGGCCGAGGCGGGTGGATCATGAGGTCAAGAGATCGAGACCATCCTGGTCAACATGGTGAAACCCTGTCTCTACTAAAAAACTACAAAAAATTAGCTGGGCATGGTGGCGCGTGCCTGTAATCCCAGCTACTCAGGAGGCTGAGGCAGGAGAATTGCCTGAACCCAGGAGGCGGAGGTTGCGGTGAGCCGAGATCGTGCCATTGCACTCCAGCCTGGGTAACATGAGCGAAACTCCGTCTCAAAAAAAAAAAAAAAAAAAAATTTTTTTCACTTTATTTTATTCCCTTCTTTCTTCTTGAGACGACATCTGTGTTTCTTAGACTGGAATGCAATAGCATGATCACAGCTCACTGCAGCCTTGACCACCCAAGCTCAAGTGATTCTCCCACCTCAGCCTCCTGAGTAGCTGAGACTACAAGCACGCATCACTATGCCCAACTCATTTTTATATTTTTGCAGAGATGGGATTTTGCCATGTTGCCCAGACTGGTCACAAACTCCTGGGCTCAAACAATTTGCCCACCTCATTCTCCCAAAGTGCTGGGTTAACAGGCGTGAGCCATCACACCTGGCCTTGGTACTTGGACTCTAAAGGACACTATTTATTCAAATACTGAGCTGCAAAATGTCTCCATCTGGGGTGATGAGAAAGTAAACTTACAACCCAGTGAACCAAGAGTATAAATTCACTCAGTATGGAAGCTGTTGGTCAACTTCAATTTGATGTCTGATTAACTTTAACCATTTACTATTGTTGAATTTCCTTTTCTTTACTATTGGTTTGTCCTTGTCCCGTGGCTGTGTGAGGCTTTTAAAAAAACCAGATAATTTGGCCAGGTGCAGCGGATCATGCCTGTAGCACTGGCACTTTGGAAGGCTGAGGGGGAAAGATTGCTTGAGGCCAGGAGTTCAAGACCAGCCTGGGCAACACAAAAGGCCCCATTTTTTCCATGGAAAAAATAAATATTCTCTTACTATCAATTTGACTTACTATAAAAGCTAATCTTTCTCATATGAAATACACAGTGATATTTTTTGAGATGGCATCTCACTCCTGTTTTGCAGGTTGGAGTGCAGTGGTGCGATCTCGGCTCACTGCAACCTCCACCTCCCAGGTTCAAGCTATTCTCCTGCCTCAGCCTGCTGAGTAGCTGGGATTACAGGTGTGTGCCACCAGGCCCAGCTAATTTTGTAATTTTTGTAGAGATGGAGTTTCACCATGTTGGTCAGGCTGGTCTCAAACTTCTGACCTCAGGTGATTCACCTGCCTCAGCCTCCCAAAGTGCTAGGATTACAGACAAGAGCCACCTCACCTGGTTTTTTTTTTTTTTTTGAGATGGAGTCTTACTCTGCCATCCAGGCTGAAGTGCAGTGGTGAGATCTCAGCTCACTGCAACTCTACATCCCACGCTCAAGCGATTCTCATGCTTGAGCCTCCAGAGTAGCTACAATTACAAGCACGCACACCACCACATCCGGCTGTATACACACACTGATTTGTGAAACATATCAGACCAACCAGGCGTAGCGGCTCATGCCTGTAATCTCAGCACTTTGGGAGGCTGAGATGGGTAGGTTCCTTGAGCTCAGGGGTTTAAACGCAGCCTGGGCAATGTGGTAAAACCGTGTCTTTACAAAAAATACAAAAATTAGCAGGACATGGCTGGGTGCAGTGGCTCACGCCTGTAATCCCAGCACTTTGGGAGGATGAGGCGGGTGGATCACGAGGTCAAGAGATCGAGACCATCCTGGCCAACATAATGAAACCCCGTCTCCACTAAAATACAAAAATTAGCTGGGCATGGTGGTGCGTACCTGTAGTCCCAACTACTTGGGAGGGTGAGGCAGGAGAATTGCTTGAACCCGGAAGGCGGAGGTTGCAGTGAGCTGAGATCACACCACTGCACTCCAGCCTGGTGCCTGGCAACAGAGTGAGACTCTGTCTCAAAAAAAAAAAAAAAAAAAAATTAGCGGGGCATGGTAGAATGAGCTTGTCGCCAAGGTACTCAGGAGGCTAAGGTGGGAGGATCACTTGAGCCTGGGAGGCAGAAGTTGCAGTGAGCTGAGATTGAGCACTGCACTCCACCCTAACCGACAGAGTGAAACCCTGTCTCGAAAAAATTAATATTAAAAAAGAAACATATCAGATAATTGTAGGAAGTCATCAAATGTGAAACGTGAAGGTGTTTTTTTTTTCTGTAACTTTCCGTACTGCTTGCCAAGCATTTGGCAGAATATGGCAGGAGCATTCTGTCACTTCTCTCTCACAATAGCCTCATGAAGAGACAGTGCTGCTACCCATTTCCCAGATAGAAAGTTAGGCTCAGGGAAGTGGGGGATGGCCCAGTGTACACCCACCTCAGGGCCCACTGGAGTCAAGATAGATCCCAAGGATGGGGCCTGAGGAACCACTGACTTGCTGTGAGCCCTGCCTGGGCCTCAGTTTGACAGTTCCCTCAGAATCACAAATCTCTGATATCCTTCTGGAGAAGTCCTGACTTCAAATATTCTGCTCCTGACATGTGTAATGGCTCCTGCCTATAATCCCAGCTCAGGAGGCTGAGGCACAAGGATCACTTGAGGTCAGGAGTTCAAAACCAGCCTGGACAACATAGGAAGACTCATCTCAAAAAAAAAAAAAAAAAAAAAAAATTATTCTCCCACCAGTCATCAAAATGTCCAGGAAATGCCAATAGTAGTCCCAGCTACTCATGCGGCTGAGGCCAGAGAATTGCTTAAGCAAGGAGGCTGAGGTTACAGTGGACCTTGATCATGCCACTGCACTCCAGCCTGGGCGACAGTCAGACCCTGTCTTTAAATAAATAAAAAAAATATTTCACCCAATCACAGTAGAAAGTTGGAACAAGAAAGCCGGCATGAAATAGCCGGGCGAAGAGGTGCACACCTGTAATCCCAGCTACTCAGGAGGCCAAGGTGAGAATCTCTTGAACCCAGGAGATGGAGGTTACGGTGAGCTGAGATCGCACTACTGCACTCCAGCCTGGGTGACACGGTGAGACCCTTTCTCAAAAAAAAAAAAA